AGAGCACTCATGAAATCACTTCTCCATTTGATGAGGTCCTTGAGCTTGGATCAATACCATAGAAGTAGTGACTTGGCTCAAGTCATTTGGTCGGTTCTAAATGTGGTTAAGCATTCCCCCAATGGCTTAGTTGAATAACTTAACTCTAGAACGAGTCATCGGACCAACGGGTGTGACTAAAGCTTCCTCGGCTACAAGCTCCTCCTCAACTACAAGCTTAGCTCCATCCGGTTCAAGCTGCTCCTTTGCTCCTATTTTCTCGGGTTCAAGCTGCTGGTCCATTATCATATCAACAAGCATCTGGCTCAATGGAGATCGCTAAGAAGCTAGCCGAAATGAACAACAAGATGGACTGCAGTTATAATGATCTCAACATCAAAGTTGAAGCATTGAATTCAAAGATCAGATACATGGAAGGCCAAACTGCATCAACTTCTCTTCTCAAGGTCACAGGACTTCTAGGGAAGTCAATCCAGAATCTGAAGGAGTATGCTCATGCTATCACACTCAGAAGTGGTAAAGAATTACCCACCAGAGACGGTCCAAATCAAACCACTAGGGACAGTGTGAATCAAGATGGGGAGGATTTCTGTTAGAATGAAGATTCAGCTGAAAAGGCAACAGAGGAGCCTATACTCGATCCATCTACTCGATCACCAGTTCCTGCAGCATCTCAATCTGTTGAAAAACCAGCTGCTACCAAAACCAAGGAAAACGTCTTTGTTCCCCCACCTTACAAGCCTCCACTCCCATTTCCTGGTCGGTTTAAGAATGTTCTGATACAGAAGTACAAGGCTCTCCTGGAAAAACAACTCAAAGATCTTGAAGTCACTATGCCTCTTTTTGACTGTCTTGCACTAATACCAGACTCCCACAAATACGTGAAGGATATGATTACCGAGAGGATCAGAGAAGTCCAAGGAATGGTGGTGTTAAGTCACGAGTGTAGTTTAATCATCCAGAAGAAGATCATACCCAAGAAATTGGGAGATACTAGTTCTTTTACCCTGCCTTGCACTCTAGGTCCTTTAGCCTTCAGCAAATGCCTCTGTGATCTAGGTGCATCTATGAGTCTCATGCCTCTCTCTGTGGCCAAGAGACTTGGTTTCAGCAAGTACAAATCCTGCAACATATCCTTGATTTTAGCTGACAAGTCCATCAGAATACCTCATGGTCTGCTAGAAGACTTACCAGTCATGATAGGCGTAGTGGAAGTACCGACAGACTTTGTGGTTTTGGAAATGGATGAAGAGCCCAAGGACCCTCTAATATTGGAAGGCCGTTTTTAGCTACAGCTAGAGCCATCATTGATGTCAAGAAGGGGAAGATCAATCTTAACCTTGGGAAAGATCTCAAGATGACCTTTGATATCACCAACACCATGAAGAAGCCTACAATAGAAGGAAAAGTTTTCTGGATTGAAGAGATGGATATGTTAGCTGACGAATTACTAGAAGAGCTAGCAGAAGAGGACCATCTACAGAGTTCTCTAACAAGGGATAGCAAGGAAAGAGATTTACACTTGGAAAATTTGGGGTACCAGAAGCTGTTAGATATGCATAAAGAAGCTGAGAATCCAGAGGAGTATGAAGATTTGGTTGGAAAGGCAAAGGAGGAGAATCTACTCGATCATGTCACTCAACAAATAGTCCATCCAGTCTACTCGACCGAGCTACTCGATCACAACCTTCCCTCTGATGGCTCTGTCATAGAATCCGGCGACTGGTCTGAACTCAAGGCACCCAAGGTAGACCTGAAACCGCTGCCAAAAGGGCTAAGGTACGCTTTCCTTGGACAAAATTCTACTTACCCTATAATTGTCTGTGATGAGCTGAACACTGATCAAGTCAATCTGCTGTTAACTAGAATTGAGAAAATATAGGAGAGCTATAGGATATTCTCTAGATGATATCAAGGGGATCTCACCCACTCTATGTACCCATAGAATTCATTTAGAAAACGAATCTTACTCTAGCATTGAACCTCAGAGGAGATTAAACCCAAACCTGAAAGAAGTGGTAAAGAAGGAGATACTTAAACTATTAGACGCGGGTATAATCTACCATATATCTGATAGCACTTGGGTATCTCCAGTCCATTGTTGTTGGGGTCGGATCCCACACATCTTTGGTAGGATCCACTTGGATATGTCCACGTCATTATTACATAATAATCGTCTTGGATTTCTAGATGTTTCATTGCGAGAATCGAGCTCGACCTGTCGGAAGTTTGATTCAGTTTATTAAAGAGCTCGATCTTTACCAGTACGGAGTTCGCTCTTATTCAACATATAGTTCGCATAAAAGAAGGCCGAAGCGAGGAGAATATTGCTCGAGGTTTGCGGCAGCGTCAAGACGCAGGAGTTCGGAGTCAACAAGAAAGGGTTCGGAAGATCCATGCGAAGCCCAAGATAGTTCAAATTCAAGCCGTTTCGGTCAAATTGTAACCTACATGATTAATGCGGATCAATGCAATTATGAGTAGTAAATGACCGCATTGATCATGTTTTCTCTATAAAAGCAACCTCAAACGCGTGTGTTTGGGGAGAGAACAACTTTTTCCTCTTACGATCAAGCAATACAACATACTTTTTCTTTTACAATTTTGCAAGGCTTTTTACTATTTTATTCTTTCCAAGTTCTTTCGCTTTATTTAGTTTCTTGGTTACTTCCCTTTTCAATTCCATATTTTCATTTGTTGATTTTAGAGCTTTTCTCCACAAAAATACTTAAAGACAATCGAGTGTGAATCCTACATCCACATTTTGGCGCCGCCTGTGGGGAGTTACCGCAAAACTCTTTGATCTCAAAATCTCTCTTTTTCAAACCAAGAAACTATGGCTGATCAGCAAGCTTTGAGCAATGCAATTGCCTTGCTTACTCAGTCAACCACTGATCTGACCAATTAGATGAGTACACTTGCTAGTGCCAACGCCACTTTTGGTGAAAGGTTAAACTCAATCGAGCAAACTTTAACGAGTGTTCAAAATACTCAAACAAATTTGTCAAACGCGCAGAACGTTGTTTCAAGCCGTTTAGATAATTTGTCCTCAGCACAAACGACAGCGTATTAGCGCAGGCTATTCCAAACTCCCACACTAAACAGATCCGGGAGCACTCAAACTCCTCCTACGGGCCGTCCTGCTAGTACTAGCAATCAGACAACTGTAGAAGATGGGTCCAATCCAACCGGGGATGAAAATCCCCAAAATCACTACGTTTAGCAATAACAAAAAGAAGTTAATCACTAGGATGGAAAATACCTTATTGATAAACTCCTCAGCCTTAACACGATCTTGAGGCAACAATCTCTCGATTAGAACGATCGGAACCTGAATGCTAGTTCCCTTCTTCAATATTTGTGAATCTTTTGGTTTGCCGGACTCTCCTGCTCTTATAAGCTCGATGTCCGACGTCCTCGAAGGATCAGCACTCATCACTTTGAACAAGTCTGAAGGATTCTCTGATGAGTTACCTCCCTTGAACATTTTTGTAGAATTGTTGTTGAAATTCAATGACAGACTACACCCACTTTATAATCGAAAAATTATTCGATTGCATTTAAGAGGATTAATTGACGATTTCCCAAATCTGAAATTACGACTTCCATTGAAAATGTAATCGAGTTAATTACTAATTATATTCCCTAGATTAAACGCATTAAATGAGATTTGAATAAATCGGCGAATTTAGAGCGAAAGGGAAAATGTAATTAATGTTGCTGGGTTTCAAGACCAGTGACATTTTACAAACATAAATAGGAAAGTGTTCGATCAAAAGTCTTCGCCCTATAATGACTCCAGCGAGGTGGAAGATCCCGAACAGCTTTCCGAGGATAGCCCCTCGTCAGAAGATAAATCAAAAGGGCCAGAGAAGTCATCAACAATTTTCGTCTCCGGTTCCTCTTTTTCTTCAGTTCTTAACATCAGAAGTCTCCGGAACTCTGACGAACATTAAACGAAAGAGGACCCACCACTGGTCGCCAAGGATAAACGATGAAATTTATCTAGTATGCAGAGGAATCTTCGGAGGCAAGTAGGCATTATGGCCACGATGTCTAGACCATTCCTCTCCCATTCGTGCGGCTCAGATTCCAAGCGAAGGATCTCTCTTTCCATCCTCTTTATTCGCTCATCAAGAGCACGGCGCCTCCTTCCGATTCTTTGTCTCTTATCACATAAAGCTTTGTGTCTCCCGACGATCTGTTTGAACGAACATTTCGTCAAATGACCAAAAGAAAAGAAGTTATAGTTTTATGAGAAGACTAAGAGTTAGAAAAGGAACCTTTTCCAGGAAGTCGTAACATTTAACCCTTTCCTTCCCTGTTCGGAAATGAAAAAACGTCGGGTGAATAACTCCCTTTGGAGAGAATCCGTCTTCGGACTCAAACAATGGGTTCCTACTTGAAGTTGTTATTCTTGAGCTTGATCTGAAAGAAGACAGCGGCATCTTTTCAAGTTTTTTCTTATAATGAACTATGGTCATCTTTCGGAATCCCTTTTAAAGGAGAAAGGGGTTCAGATTTCTAGAAAAAATTATATATTGTTGGCCTGTTGGAGCAGGCTTCAGATCCAATTAAAACGCGGCCCAGCGATTCCGAAGCCATCATGGGCAACGATCGAAATCATTGCCCGGTCGTATTTATGACAAAATTCTCATGAATTATAAATCTTATCCCTCGATATAAAAAGAAAACTTAAGCCGAGCTCCATCCTCGCCTTCGAGAGGCCGAGGAAAAATACTTATTAAGATTTTTTCTTTAAAAAAGGCAAGTGAGCTTAATCAGCTCATCTCTCACAATTTATAAAACCTCTTTGGCAGGCTAGGACTTGCAAACCTAGAATCGTGTCCAAACGTTTTTGCTAAAAAAAAAAAAAATAATCATATGCCAGAGCATGTACATGGTTGTGTTCGGTCACACTAGTTGAACCAAATATTTCCGTCAAACGGAACAATCCTCATGGACTCAACAAAACAATTCTTAAAAAAAAAAAAACGTTCCTACTCCTCTAGAGAACCCTCATGTGGCCGAGAACCTTCACCTACCTCAAATTGAGATGGGGAATCTCCAAATACCAAAGAAAATTGTTTCAAATCGAGAGTAGGACGGGAAGCCGAGGATAGCTCGGACTCAACCATAGCGAGTTCGGCAGCAACTTCGCTCCTCTCGTTCTCAAACGAAACTCTCCCAGCCTCTAGTTCCTTAATCAGGTCTAGATTGCTCTTCAGTTCGGCTCGATCTGTTAGAAGTTTAGTCCAGACCTCTTCGTCCTTGATGAACTTCATGACAGATTGAATAAGTTGCCTACCGAATCCCCTCATCTCTTCTCGAGCATTATGTTCGGCCTCAGCGATATTGCGATCCCTGTTCCTAGTTAAAAGCTCGATCTCTTGATTTGCTTCTTCGAACAAAGCCGTATTCTCCTCTAGCTCAGCCTCCAAGCGAAGAGTATTAGCCCTTGCAGAATCTCTTTCAGCATTCGCAATTCTAATGCGTTGCTCGTTAGCTGCCAGAGTCTTCTTCATATTTTCAACAGATAACTCGAGTGCTTTTTCCCGCTTAAGTCGCTCGGATTGGTTGGCTAATCTGAAGTCGTCAACCTCCTTCTTAGCCTTTGTGGTCTCTCTCTTCTCTTGATGAAGAAGGTTCTCATAATGGAAGATCATTCCATTAGTCTCCATAAACGCCTTCGGAGTAAAAAAAAAAACAAAACAACGTGTCGTTTAGACGAGAAGCTTTTACCTAAGGAAGGGAAGTTATCATAATCTAAAAGATCCGAACCTGGGATAGGTAGCAAGCTCGATTGGCGAACATCTGACAGATTTCCGGCCTCCAAACCGAAAAAGGAGGAAGGGACGCCCCTTCCCTGGTTTGGAAACTTCGGAAGATGTCTCCAATCTCTTCTCCGCCTGCGAAGCAGAGGAGAATAGCAGATTAATAAAATAAATGCAATCTGCAGCAATTTTTGCTAATGCTCGCTTTCTAAGTAAAAACTTACCTGAAATCGAAGTAGGTAAAGGATTTTGAGTCCTAACACTCAATCCTTGAGATAGGGGAGCCTCCGGTCTCGGCTCATCTATTTCCTCTGAAATTACTCTGTCTCCCGGAAGAGAGAGCTCGGAGTTAAAAGGTTCTGAAGAAGGATAAACAGAACGTAGAGGGCTAGAGACTCGTGGTGGAGAACTTAATCTCACGGTTTTAAGTCTCTCGTTTGATGGATTATCGGAATCAGGAGCCTTCCTCTTTGTACGAGGAGAGGAGGTTATTTCTCCCTCACACCCTGGTTCGGGAGGGCAAATTGCGGTGGCAACTGGAGGGTCGTTAAGGATCTCGGCTCCATGAGTATCCACCGCGGCTGACAGGGCTGCTTCTAACGAACTGTCATCAACCAAAAGGGTCTTCCTGTGGAAGTTACCAACCCTGGAGATTGCAGCTATCCGTTTCTTTTTTCCAATTTCGGATAGCTGATCCTTAAGAGCCTTGACTTCAGCCTACATCTTTCTTTTATCTCGAGCATTCAGGCTCGAGACGTCTTTCTCCTCGGGAGGAAGATCGAGGGGATGAGTCAGACCATCTTTAATGGCGAGCCCCGCTTTATGAATGCGTTGAAGGGTGAAGGAATTCCAATTTGTTTCACCCTCGGAAACGATTCGAAAGAAGGACAAGAAGTCAACGGTTGGGCGGGGGATCGTCTGGTTCCCTGAAACAAAGTACTGGGTTAAGAATTCTATCACTTTAACATAATACAGTGGAAATTAGTAAAGGTTGGATTTTAAACCAAGTTTAGCCGACCAATTGGCAAGAAGAAGACTGGAAAGACCTTGAACGGAATGGGGATTGACTCGGAAAAAGAACCAGTATTTCCTCCAAGGCCCATCATTCGAGGGCATTCTGTCGATCAGGTTACGGTCAAGGTTAGGGTTTATAGAAAAAATACCCGCTGCTGCGGATTCGCGGGCTCGAAATAGCCCTAAGAGTTCGCTAGTAGAGAGGGAAAACCCTGCTTCTGCCGAAACAGTCAGGATGCTCAGAACGTATCGAAGAAAGTTGGGAGCCATTTGAGGAAAGGCAATCCCTAGGTGGAGGAGGTATAAAATAAGAACTTCCGGTACGGGAAAAAACAAACCACAACATTTGAAATAGACTTCGTACGCACAACAGTAACCCTCTCGCACCACTTCCGGAGACTCGTTGGGTCTAGGAAGAGAGAATTCAATTTCCTGGGGGATGTTACAAAGGCGGCGAAGAGCGCCAAGGGAAGCAGAGGTCGACTGAGATCTGAAATGCGGACCAAATTTGTCTCCCCTTTGGGTGAAGACTTCATCCCCTCTGTGAACAGGGATTCCTTGACTGTCATCTTCATTGTCCGAAACATAGATAGCTGGAGAAGACATCTTTTACTAAGAGGTTTCTCTTTTTCTGGTTTGGTAAAAGCTTTAGGGGTAAAAGTACGCTGCTGTAAAAGCCGTCATTCCATTTAACCTTATTTAGCGGAAAACCGCCTCGAGAATATTGGGAAGTGGGACAGTTTTCCCCGTAGTATTAATATAAAATTAAGAAATTAATGATGACGGTTGTCAGGGAAATCAAATCATCTGATTATCTGAGATCAGCGTAATAGCGAAAAACATGGAGTAATTCCGGAATGTTAAAGATCTCGAGTCATTAATTACAGTTTACTTAAGTCTTCCAAGCAGAGCACTCAGCTCGCAAGACTTGGGGGGCTAAATGTTGGGGTCGGATCCCACACATCTTCGGTAGGATCCACTTCGATCTGTCCACGTCATTATTACATAATAATCCTCTTGGATTTCTAGATGTTTCATTGCGAGAATCGAGCTCGACCTGTCGGAAGTTCGATTCAGTTTATTAAAGAGCTCGATCTTTACCAGTACGGAGTTCGCTCTTATTCAACATATAGTTCGCATAAAAGAAGACCGAAGCGAGGAGAATATTGCTCGAGGTTCGCGGCAGCGTCAAGACGCAGGAGTTCGGAGTCAACACGAAAGGGTTCGGAAGATCCACGCGAAGCCCAAGATAGTTCAAATTCAAGCCGTTTCGGTCAAATTGTAACCTACATGATTAATGCGGATCAATGCAATTATGAGCAGTAAATGACCGCATTGATCATGTTTTCTCTATAAAAACAACCTCAAACGCGTGTGTTTGGGGAGAGAACAACTTTTTCCTCTTACGATCAAGCAATACAACATACTTTTTCTTTTACAATTTTGTCGGGCTTTTTACTATTTTATTCTTTCCAAGTTCTTTTGCTTTATTTAGTTTCTTGGTTACTTCCCTTTTCAATTCCATATTTTCATTTGTTGATTTTAGAGTTTTTCTCCACAAAAATACTTAAAGACAATCGAGTGTGAATCCTACATCCACAATTGTGTTCCCAAAAAGGGAGGTATGACAGTCATTAAAAATATTAAAGACGAATTGGTACCCACTAGGACCATAACAGGACATAGGATGTGTATCGACTATAGGAAGCTTAATGCAGCCTATAGGAAAGACCACTTCCCATTACCTTTTATTGACCAAATTCTAGAGAGATTAGCAAACCACCCTTACTATTGTTTTCTAGATGGTTACAGCGAATTCTTTCAAATTCCTATCCACCCAAACGATCAAGAGAAAACCACCTTCACCTGTTCTTATAGGACCTTTGCTTATAAGCGAATGCCTTTTGGGCTCTGCAACGCACCTGCTACTTTTCAGCAGTGTATGACTTCTATTTTCTCCGATTTGATAGAGAAGACGGTTGAGGTGTTCATTGATGATTTTTCCTTGTATGGCTCTTCCTTCTCCTCCTGTTTGTTAAACTTGTGCAGGGTACTCAAGAGATGTGAGGACACAAACCTGGTGCTGAACTGGGAGAAATGCCACTTCATGGTTAGAGAAGGCATCGTTTTGGGACACAAGATTTCAGAGAAAGGGATAGAAGTTGATAAGTCTAAGGTTGATGTGATGATGCAGTTGCAGCCACCAAAGACTGTCAAAGACATCAGGAGTTTTCTTGGGCATGCAGGATTTTACAGAAGATTCATCAAGGATTTCTCCAAGCTGGCCAGACCACTCACCAGATTGTTGTGTAAGGAAACCGAGTTCACATTTAATGAAGAATGTTTGATAGCCTTTAAGTTGATCAAGGAAGCTTTGGTTACTGCTCCCATAGTCCAAGCTCCAAACTAGGACTACCCGTTTGAGATCATGTGTGATGCCTCAGATTATGCAGTAGGGGCAGTTTTGGGCCAGAGGATTGATAAGAAGCTGCATGTGATCTACTACGTGAGCAGAACGATGGATGATGCACAAGTAAGGTATGCAACTACTGAGAAGGAACTGTTGGCTGTGGTATTCGCATTCGAGAAATTTAGGAGCTACCTGGTAGGTTCTAAGGTGACAGTCTACACTGATCATGCCGCTCTGAGGTATATCTATGCGAAGAAGGATACCAAGCCTAGGCTGCTGAGATGGATCTTATTGCTCCAAGAGTTTGACATGGAGATAGTAGATAAGAAGGGGATTGAAAACAGTGTAGCTGACCATCTGTCTAGAATGAGAATTGAAGACGAGGTCCCTATTGATGACTCTATGCCAGAAGAACAGCTAATGGCAATCAAATAGCTGAACGAGAGCGCTCAAATTCTGAAATCACTCGATCAAGCATGTGCAATAGAAGATAAGCTTCTGTGGTATGCTGATCACGTCAACTACTTGGTGAGTGGTGAAGAGCCTCCAAATATGTCGAGCTATGAGAAGAAGAAGTTCTTTAAAGATATTAACCATTTCTACTGGGATGAGCCTTATCTCTACACTCTCTACAAAGATAAGATCTACAGGCGATGCGTCTCAGAAGATGAAACTGAAGGTATCCTGCTGCATTGTCATGGCTCTGCCTATGGTGGCCACTTCGCAACATTCAAGACAATATCAAAAGTCCTTCGAGCAGGTTTTTGGTGGCCAACAATGTTCAAAGACGCTCAAGATTTTGTCTTGAAATGTGATTCATGTCAAAGGAAGGGAAACATCAGCAGAAGAAATGAGATGCCTCAGAATCCGATCTTGGAAGTTGAGATTTTTGATGTATGGGGAATAGATTTTATGGGTCTGTTTCCTTCTTCATACGGAAACAAGTACATACTGGTCGCAGTGGACTATGTATCAAAAAGGGTCGAAGCCATAGCTAGTCCCACCAATGATGCAAGAGTTGTGTTGAAGCTGTTCAAGGCCATTATCTTCCCGAGATTTGGGGTTCACAGGGTTGTAATCAGTGACGGGGGGGAAACATTTTATCAACAAGGTTTTTGAGAACCTTCTGAAGAAGCATGGAGTAAAGCACAAGGTAGCCACTCCTTATCATCCACAGACAAGCGGGCAGGTGGAAATCTCCAACAGGGAGATAAAAGCAATTCTAGAAAAGACTGTTGGGATTACAAGGAAAGATTGGTCTGCAAAGCTCGATGACGTGCTATGGACTTACAGAACAGCTTTCACGACCCCTATCAGCACAACTCCTTTCAACCTTCTCTATGTAAAATCATGTCACCTACCTGTTGAGCTGGAGTATAAATCTAGGTGGGCAGTTAAACTCCTGAACTTCGACATTAAAACCGCTGAGGAGAAGCAGTTGATCCAACTGAATGATCTCAATGAGATTCTCTTAGAAGCTTATGAGAGCTCCAGAATCTACAAGGAGAGAACTAAGTCTTTCCATGACAAGAAGATAATCTCAAAGGATTTTAAGGTTGGTGATCAAGTGTTGCTGTTCAATTCCCGCCTGAGGCTCTTTCTAGGCAAGCTCAAGTCTAGATGGTCTGGTCCTTTCTGTGTTACTGAAGTCCGACCTTATGGTGCTATCACTCTAGCTGGAAAGAATAGAGATTTTACAGTCAATGGCCAGAGGCTCAAGAAATACATGGCAGATCAAGTCATTCCAGAAGGAACTTCTGTTCCTTTGGAGGAGCCTCTAAATGCCTAATAAGTGTGAGGAGTCAGGCTAGAGACTTAAAACAAGCTCACTTGGGAGGAAGTCCCACGTCTATCTTATACATATTTTTATTTTTCCTTGTTGTTTTTAATGCATTTTGGTAGTGTTTTCAGGGGATAAGTGTGAAGAGCTGAGTGAAGTGAATTCTGGCTCTGAATGAGCATCAGTATACTTGACCACAAAAGAGATCACTCGACCGCGGTGCTGGCCGCAACAGAGGAGAAGAGGTCGAGTATCCACGCGGAGTTGGAACCGAGACAGGTAAAGGAGATTCTTCAATGGCTTGGCAGGAATCGCAGGCGGGCATTGATGATCACATCCGCTCCTTCTTCCATTAAGGTAAGCACCTCACTTCAACACTGTACATTACCATCTCCTGTTTTGTTTCTGTGATGTTTTTGTCCTGAGTACTCTCTTCCAAATTTGGTCACACAGAGGACTGTGTGATTTAAGTTTGGGGGAGGGCTCAGGAAGTGTTTGTGAACTGATGTGTCTATTTTGTTCTTATCTTAAAATTTTTGCATTGTACATACTCTTGAGTCTGCATTCATCTAAGGCATAGAAAAACCATAAAAATTTGAAAATTTTTAGAAAATTTATCCCACAAAAACAGAGTGTTCATGTAGTTGCATTTTCATTTAGGATTGAGTCTATGATGTTTCATATAGGATTGTTGCATATGCATAGGGGATTATGATGAGATAGCCTTGTAAGCATGTTGGTTCACTAGATAGACTCAATGCCCTCGTTGCTAGTTGTCTGATGCATAGTCAATGAAATTGAAGTAAAACTGCACCATGTCTTGAATGCTCTACTCGATCACACTGTCATGATTTGATACCATTCCCTATCAATTTGAACCTGAATCTGTTTACAATTATCATGTCTTAGCATCAAATTTGAACTCATGGATACCATATACATACTTGGGTTTTCTTTCAACTTTTCCCCAGCCTTGCTAACCCAAGTAGCTACTTCCACCATAGGAGCAGTTTCCCTAGCCCTTAACCAAACCTTTCTTTTAAGCTATGTTATATCTCGTGTGTGAGTGTGAGGCCTATTTCAGGATTGAGCTTGGTAGAAAGTGTTAGGTTTGAGCTGACAAGAGTAGTGTCTCATGTAGTTCTAGTCCATGTTTTCTTGACTAGATAGGACTAGGTGGGAGTCTATTTTTGGGTGGGGATCGAGTATATGAGAAAAAGAAGGAAAAGGTTGATGTTTTTAGGGGAAGGAAGTTGAGAAATAAGTTAGTCTACTAATGGATTTTGGGGAACTAAAAGTCGAATGAATAGGCTCTGTAAAAAAAGAAAGCAAAAGTCTAGAAAAGTCTTTATCATAAGAAGATAACAAGAGCCATAATTGTCAAAGAAAGCCAAAATCCACTAGGTCCATCAAAGT